CTTCCTTCCTTCCTTCCTTCCTTCCTCTCCCCCCCTTCCTCCTTCCCTCCTTTTCTCTCTCTTAAAAAATCCAGTCAATCAATCAATATAGTCCTAACTCTAACCTTGGCTTAATAGGTGCTCAGGAAATGTTGGTTAAATAATTTGTGAAATTTTTCATAGTGCTTTTTTTTCTCTCTTGCAGTTAAAAGAGCCAAATTCCAGGGCTCACCAGGTAAGATCTGCCTTTAATTATTATGTCCCCTCATATTTTCTGTGATTTAAAAGCAATCTTTAAAAAATTTAATTTTATTGAATTAATTTATTGCATTAATTAAATTCACTAAGTTTGTTAAAATATTAATTAAAAATCAGTATGGGGAGATGTTGGTCAAGGGGTTGCAAAGTTTCAGTTATGCAAGATGAATAATTTCTGGAGATCTAATGTACAACACTGTGTATATAGTTAACAAGTATTGTATACTTGTAATTTTCTAAGAGGGTTGGTCTTCAGTGTTCTCAACACACATACACCCTCTCTCACTCACTCAAAATGGTAACTATATGAGGTGGTGATGAATATGTTAATTTGCTTGATTATGGTGATTATTTCACAGTGTATACATATATCAAATCATCAGGTTGTATACCTTAAAATACACAATTTTAAATTGTCAATTATACCTCAGTAAAGCTGGAAAAAATGCTGTTGTAAAACATTAAAGAAATCAATATCTATATATCTATCTAGTGAAAAGTTAAAGTCCCCTTACTTCTTGACCAACTCAGTTATACTTCCAGAAGTAACTGTTTAGAGGTTTTCGTATATCTTTTCAGATTTTTTTCTGTGTATATTTGTATCTATATTACTAGATTAGCTATACATATTTTTCTTCAATGTGCTTCCCCCCTAGCACATCATGAAAGTCTTTTCTTGTGTGTGTGTGTATACCTGGTTCTTTTTTTTTTTTTTTAACTGTTATACAGAATTTTGTTGTAGATTTGTACCCTAGGTCTTTGATTGAATATTTAGGTTACTTCCAATTTCTTGCTATTCTAAGAAGTAAATGTTTTTGTGCATGTATCATTACCTACTTTTGCAAATGTATATGGACACTAGAGCCCAGAAGTAGAGTTGCTGGACCAGAGGTATGTATTTTAAAGAAATTTGGTAGCTGCTGCCACACTGCCCTTCTGAAAATTTTTGCTAGATTATACTCAGACAAGAGTATGTGAAGGTTCATTTTCCCAAATCCTTATGAACATTAAATAATATGAAACTTTTTAATCTTTGCCCATCTGAAGGTAGAAAAAAAAAAGGTATCTCCTTATTTTAATACACATTTCCTTATTGTGAATGTCAAGTTAGTCTGATTACTGCTGGGGGAAAGGAAGAGTTCTAGTAATCTGGGGATTATTGGAAAAAAAATGAACATGGTTGGGAAACCAGGAAAACCTGAAAAACCAAACCTTGGGTGCAACAGGAACTAAAACAGGTTCTGAGCTTTCTACTCTCTCCACTGGCTCTGGATTAGGACTTCTCTTTTTTTAAATGAGAATCTGTTGTGTTCTCCTTTCTCTTTCAGCAGGCTTTCTATGCTTGCATACAGCTCATAATGATTCTCCAGTGGAATTTGTATGCCTCTCCTTTAAGCTTTATCACCAAGCACCAGCTGTCACTATTTCTTTGTTTTCCCTATTTAAAATATTTTGAAAGGGAATCATACTGGTCTCACTTTTTGGCCAGCCCATAGATTGGATGCTCTAGAGTGGCATCTGTCCCTGGTCTAATCAGCTACAGGTGGATATGGGGAGTGGAGTACAATATCATATGATATGAAACATAGCTCAGTGGTCTACTGCACTGGTACACTGGATATGGATGGGGAATATATATAAACTACATAATTTTTAATGATACTTAAGAAAAAGAGTTACCTTCTGCTAGAAGTGCATGACAGGGACCATTTTCTTACATCTCTAACATTAGGTGATCATTTTAAGCAATCTTTGCTAGTTTGATGAGTCAAAAATAACTGTCTTCCTTGTTTCACTTTATAAAATTATGATTTATTTGTTATACATAAAAGTGAGTTCTCAATTTAGTGCCTAGGGTGAGTATAGAATGCACTGTGTTAAGCAGTAGGTCAGATCTCTAAGTTTTGAGTTCCAGGCCACCTATGTTTGGTTAGTACTCCACTTATGCTCTCAGGTTAGAGAATTTCCTTTTCCCAACTCTGTGATAACATTTCTGATAAATGAATAGATCAAGCTTGAAATTCACTTACTTTATGAGGGTTTATCCTGAATTCTTATCCCTTTCAACAGCTAGAGTTAACCCTTTCCTCTTCTGTAACCCTTTATCACTTTTTCTCTTATGGTACTTATTTTCCCCCCACATTTAAAGTTACATATCTTTCCTACTAGATCAATTATATGAGTTTTTTTCCAAACTGTAGGTGTGCTATAAAATCACTTTGGTTGGTTATGATTAACATTTTAGTAGATTAAATAAAGTAGAATAGGAAATATCAATGTATCACATCTTGTATTTTATGAAACTTTTGTTCTAGTTTATATGTGTGTCTCCTGGGTCAAATATATTTCTTCTTTTTTAAAAAATATATCTTTATTAATTTCAGAGAGAGGAAGGGAGCAGGAGAGAGAGAGATAGAAACATCAATGATGAGAGAGTTGTTATTGATCGGTTGCCTCCTGCACAACTCCAACTGGGGATGGAGCCCGCAACCAGGGCATGTGCCCTGACTAGAAATCGAACCATGATTTCCTGGATCCTACACCGATGCTCAACAGCTGAGCCACGCTGGGCCAGGCTCAAATATATTTCTTAAATTTGCACAACACTGTTGTAGATTATGGTTTTGAAGGTAATATGTGTTTTATACTTTTTGCAACTCTACTGTGTTTAGAAAGATGCTACTCTGTACAATATATATGTATTTTCACTGTTTTTTTCTACATTTGATGCTTTAATTTGGATATTATTTAATTCCAAAGGCTTTCTGAGATTGGGTAACAATCTGAGTACTAAGTATTACATCTTTATTTTGCATTTTTTCAAAGATAAATTTAACACATATGTGACCCTGAAAGTGCAGAATGTGAAGAGCACAACTGTAGCAGTTCGTGGTGATCAGCCTTCCTGGGAACAAGATTTTATGTTGTAAGTACTTCGCAGCAGTAGCATACCTACAATATTTGATAATCTTTTTAAGGTAATTACATTGGATTAAACAATTACAGGTCCAAGATTGTGTGTATGTTTAAGATTTATAAAATATGTTAAATATTTTAAAACGTATTTTAATGTATTAGCATATGTTAAATATTATTTTTGAAAACTACAGAATTACAGGAACAAGTGAGGTGTGTGGTAGGTGAATTATATCTGCAGTTTTGTTCTCTTGTGGATTTGTAATCTATTCTTAGAGATGAATTATGAGTGTGAGTAAACTCCCAATTTATGTATGTGAAAATACTACGTAGTTTGTTTTTCCTAGTCGTCAGGATTGATAAAGGTTCAAATTCAGTGCCAGTGCCGTGTGTCTGAGTCCACTCAACAAAAGTCCTGGGGTATACCAAGTCTACCTACCCCTCCCCCCAGATGCCCACAGACCTTTGTGGTAGGGTGGGGTCTCAGGGAGTTGTTAGGATGAGGCCAGCAGAGTTTATCAGGCCCAAACACACCAAGATTTGGCCGTGTGAAGGGAGGCCTCTACACTGGTTGGGTGTGCAAGGGAAAAATGGCCCCTGTCCTAGAGCCACACAACCCAATCTGTCCCAGATTCTGCTGGGAGCCCCAGCTCAGGAGGGCAGGGCCACTGGGAGTTTGGAAGGTGGGGCTAGTGGATCTCCCCTGAAGGGGAGGTGCAGGTCAGGCTTAGGGAAGGTGGGGGGAATACCCCCCCCCCCC